GTAACCAAGTACACTGCTAAGGGGAGCAGCGGGTGAGAGAGGAGAGGTGTGCTGCACCATGTGGTTCAGCTCCTGGGGCACAAACTAATGCCCTGCCTGGCTGTGCTGCCCTTTAACCCATTGTGTCATCAGGGAGGGCCTCACATAATTTAAAGGCAGCCCGGGAGACAGGTTAAATACCAGAAATGACTAAGCCTTTTTGAAAAAATTTGTATATGACATAGTTAAAATGATAAAAAACTACTTGGTAAAATAACAAAAGTAGGAAAGTGTTAATGTGGTATAGAGAAATAATTCTTTACAGTAAGGCAGAACTGTTTATTTCCCTGGTGAAATAATTTATTGACTTTCCACAAGAAGCTTAAGGTACTGTGGATATTCTGTAATAACATAATAAGTTAATTTAATACTTAACATGTGCTGGGTACTTCACATACATGAACTCATTTATTCTTCTAAACAATGCTAGGAGATAGAGGCTGTTTTTATTTTATCTAAGGGAGATTAACTGAGGAGAGGACCCTGGAAGGAATATTTGAGTCCTGAAGGATTAGAAAGAATTTGGCAGGTAAACAGGGATTAAAAAAAAAAAAAATTAAAAGTTGTTTGCAGATAGTTACGAAGATAAAATATTTATCAATAAAAATAGTGGAAAGCATTCGGTGTTCAGGGAGAAGGAAGGAAAGTATAGGCTTTTTTAGTCTTTGCATATATAGATGCAACACATATACTGTTTTTTCTCATTGTAGCTACCATTACCCTCACTTTTCTAGCAAATTTTTGCCTCATTTCTTTTTTTTTTTTTTAAGATTTATTCATCTATGCCTATAGAACTGGGGTACAGGTCAGAGTTGCAAGGGGTAACAACATTCACCAGAGACAGAGTGGGGAGCAGAATAAGCAGATCGACTGAAATACACTGCTGAGGGGAGCAGCGGACGGGTCAGGAGAGGTCTGCTGTGTCATGTGGGTCACCTTCCTGGCTAGGGATCGAACTCGTGCTGCAGTGGTTGTGTTAGTTTTATAGTGCTGTGCTTTAACCTGTTGCGCCAGTAGGGAGGGCCTGCCTCATTTCTTTAGTCCTCCTTACCACAGAACTTCAGGAAAGAGTGGTCTCTGCCTCTCTTTAATCTCCTCTAACTTCCATTCTCTTAAGCTCACTTATCAAACTCCCTTCTACCACTCTTGCTAAATCC